ACAGATATATATATATATATATATATATATATATATATATATATATATATATATATATATATATATATACATACAGACTATGATAGATAGATAGATAGATAATGAACAGAGACATATTGATATGAACATACTGTGAGATAGATAGATAGATAGATGAATAACAGACGATGTATATATATATATATATATTTATATATATATATATATATATACAGACTGTGTTAGATAGATAGATAGATAGATAGATAGATAGATAGATAGATAGATGTGAACAGACTGTGAGAGATAGATAGATATGAATAGACTGGCGTATAGAGATAGATACGAACAGATTGAAATAGATATCTTTCTACGAGCTAACTAAATATAAACAGACTGGTAGATAGATAGATAGATCTTTTTGTTCTTCTTTTTGCCAAGGAAACAGTTGGCATTCATTGACCGAGCAGCCAGAATTCTCTCGTTTGAAATCTATAAAATCTTTATCTTAAAATAATTTTTTCAGGAAAACAGGTTTCTCGAGCCCAGTAACTGTTATTGCTCTTTCCAGTGTTGACGGCCGTTTCCTTCCTACCCTTTTGTTTGAAGTGGTGTGGAATATCAACATCTTGATTATGTCATTATTTTCTCTTCGATTTACATGTGCTATTCGTTTTAGTTGTTGCTGCTGTTGGTAGTCATCAAGTGATGAGGTTTCTGAGGATGATATCTATATCCAAATATTTGTAATCTCTAAATATCCGAGACAAGGTATTCAGGAGGAGGTACTGAGTTAAGAAATACATGCAGTTAAGAAAAGAGAAGATAACTATTGACAGTGAATTAAAATCTTTGAATCTTGTCGGCTGAGGCTTCATAATACGCTGACTGCCCCTCTGGAGAGGGGGTAAGACACCCCCTTCCCCAATGAGGCGTCCCAGGTATGACGATAAATTACATCCGGCAGCAAAGATTCTGATCAGGATATTTTGAAGTGCGTGGAACCACCTCTAAATTGGTGGTGTTCCCAGGTCCACCCTGACCTGGGGTGTTTGGGTCCCAGCTATGGGCAAATAGTTAACCCCAAACTGGGGTCAAAACGTTATGGAAGTGTAAAAATAGGTTTTAGCAATATATTTTTGTAAAAATTATTACCAGCAATATATTTTTGAACAAAAAATATTACCAGCAAAATATTTTTCCAAAAAGAAATGTTCCCAGCAAAATATTTTTGAAAAAAAAATATTCCCACCAATACATATTTGAACAAAACTATTACCAGTAAAAAATCTTAACGGCATTAAATAACATATTGAGGTTGATAGGCCGTAGAACAAAATAAATCCAAACCCCGATCTACAAGCTCTTTTCTTACAAAGAATATATATTCTATTCATACGAACCTATCCTAAAATTCTTGTCATTAAATAACCCATTGAGGTTGATCTCTATCTATAAAAGGCAGGATGCGTGTGTGTGTATGTGTGTAACGAATGCACAGCCGCAATTTTCGACGGATTTGCACCAGAATTTACATGCACATGCTCCAAGTTAGCGGAAAGGCCAAGACCGACGTTGCATTTCCCAACTCCCATCGATAGTGGAAATAATCGATTTTTTCATGCTTCTACGGTAGTTTTCATGTAGTTTGCGGCCATTTTCTACTGGCCAGAGTGAGAGCCAATAGCTGGCTGCCACGAATAGGCTGGTAGGTTCTACTGGCCACCGTGAGAGCCAACAGCTGACTGACACGAATGTTAACTAGCATGCCAGCATGCAAAAAAAAATCGATAACTGCATTCATCACAAGTGGGAAAAATTTAAATCTGCATGGCACTTTACTCCAATTGGCTCATTCACTTGCTTAAACTCAACATTGATTCTGATTCCGCAGAACTGGGTTGTGTGTGAAAAAGTATTTGTTGTTAACATTCTTTTTTCATTCGGTTTTTCCAGTTACGAGTCCTTTTTTTTAAAGCTGATCGTTTTGTGTTCATTTTGTTTAGTTCTTTTTTCGTAACAGATTTAATGTTTAGGATAGAGCTTAGAAAAAAATTCGCAGTGTGAGATAGGCAAGAAGTAAGGCATGTAGCAACATCAGAACGGCAAAGGGCACTCCTTTAAAGGCAAGGAAGGGCAAAAATATTTTAAGTCAAGTGATAGCGATTGCTGTATGAGTCGTACGATTTTGAATCAAGCACGGGCAACGCCGGGCCATGCTGCTAGTATCCTATAAAATAAAACAAACCAAACCAAACCAAGAAGCCAGAAGGAAGGCGAGAAAAGAAACTACTGACATCAAACTTACGGTTACCTCTAGCTAATTCATCTTTAAAATAATCTAGTACCGCGCTTAAATTCATGGCAAAAGGGGGAATGGAAGAAGGCTGGTTTTCTGTCTGTCTTATGTTAAACTTAGATAACTGGGGTTACTGTCCCAAACATACTACAGTATTCCTTACACCAAAACAACACATTCTTACCATTCTTACTACAGTCACCATAATACCTCAGGGTCTCT